TAATGAAGAATAAAACCATTCGGTATCGAGATTTAGCAAGTTCAAAATAAGTTGAAAATATAACGATGGAATGAAAAAAATTGTCGATAACATTTTGAATATTTAGTAGCAAATGCAGATGTGCTTAAGAGCGAAAAACACCACACAAGCAGCTTTAAAAACCAAGCGAAATATGCCTTTGCTTAAAGCTATTTATGTTGTGCACGGGGTTGTTTGAAGGTTTGACAAGGCGTTTGAGGGAAATGTGAGCAAAAATCTAAATTTTTTGATATTCTGGCCGCCATGTTGACGTTCGAACCCCTTACGTTGTGTATGATAAAATCGCCTGATTAGCAACGGAATTTTTACCGAATGAGGACACAGGAAAGAAAAATCGAAGAAAACCAAACCCTTTTACATTGTGAACCGGAAGAAAACTAAAATCCCTTGCTTGAACGAGTCATGTTTGCATGGTTTATGTCGAAATGGGAAAAGTAGGTTTGAGGAATGTTTGACAAGTCGCTTTGTGGTGCATTTCGCTCTTTATAAAACTTCGGAAAGCTTTTTGTTCAAAAATTTGTAGATCGATTTTAACAACTCTGTTGGGTAAAACATGGTTGCATTTGTTATCTGCAAATATATTGAGAGACAATTCCTCAAAATAAAATCCTCAAAAAATACTCAAGCGTACCCGAAATTCCTCGCGTTTTGAGGAATTACTCACAAAGTGGCAACACCAGAATGACCCAAAAATATTCTTGGATGGGCAGTTGGGTATTATATCGTCATAAAAGTAAGAGCAACTTACTGGCAATTTTTAAATTTATCTTTTTAAAAACTTTTTTTGACTTCGTTTAAAAAATTTCACATAAGGCGATTTTAACTATGAATTTCATTTTATCTCGTTGAAGCTTTACGAGTGGTTTCAGAAAGGTAAATGGTTTCATCACTGGTCAACTTAGAAATAGGCTGCCACAATATTTTGCATAAAATAAAAATCTTCTGATCAAAGTTTCTGATACTAATTATTGTACGTATGTATTTCTAAACAGCAATTTCTTATTTAAAAGAAGTAATTTTTAAGCAAAAAACAAAACCGACTTCAATTCTCATAGAAAAACTTTAAAGTATGGTTAATTTCTTCATAACCCATTGATCGGATCTTACCAAAAATAATATTGGACCACCAAAGAGGTACTACCTGTCCTTAAAAAAAAATAGTAGTTATAGAAATCGGATAACGTGGTCCAAGATTATGCGGTAATATACATACAAAAAAAACTATTCCCACGGATTAATAACCTCTTCCCCTTTTCTAAGTCGGTTAAAAAATAGTTCGTAAAGTGCGTAAGTGAAAAATGATTTTTGTTCTGTGAGTTTTCATATTAAATTCAAACAGAAAAATAATTTTTCACTTAAATTGCTTTCGTGAAACTAGCCATTAGTCTTGGAAAATTCATTTCTAACCGACTTCAAAAAAGGAGAAGGTTATCAATTCGTCGGAATATTTTATTTTTTTATGTGTTACCGCATAACTTTGGACCACGTCAACCGATTTCGAAAGGCGGTATCTCAAGGGTGATCCCATACTAATTTCGTTTAGATCCGATAATTGGATCACGAAGAAATTAACGTTACACCTAAATTTCTATATAAGAATTGAAGTCGGTTTTAATTTTTGCTAAAAAATTACTTGTTTGCAGCTGTATATCGTGGTGGCAGCCGCATAACAAAGTGATTAGGGTGCGAACTTCCCTCCGTAGGAATTGGCGCTTGGTTCGGTTAACAACGAAAAATTATAAAGAGCGGTCGTCCGTAGACAGGCAATGATAAATCTGCGAGTCAATTTTTGGCCATGAGAAACATTTTTATAAAGAACCATCCACCATTTGCAGGTGGCATAAAATTACAAGTGCTTCCATTTTTGCCACACAGCATAAAAATATTAGACATTTCGGACAACATTCTTCTACTGAAATTATATGTATCTATATAATTTTTTCTTAAATCCTTCATCCATTTCAAAAGCTTCGTCCAAAGGACTATATCTGCCGTGATTCGCACAACGAATGCGATCTGCCAGAATATTGTGATGGTGAAATTGGTCACTGCCCAGCTGATGTGTTTAGGAAGAATGGATCACCGTGTGGACATACTAAAGCAGGAACATCGGGTAAGATCGGGGAAATTTTAATGTTGAAATTTATTAAAAAAAAAGAAGCAAATGCACTTCTTTGAGTTTTGCAAATAACTATGCAACTTGTACATGAATTACAAAAATTTAAATTTAAAAAGAAAAAGTTATAAATTATATGATATAATTTTTTAGGTTACTGCTTTCAAGGTGACTGTCCCACCTTGAATCTGCAATGCGAAGCCATCTGGGGCTATGGTGGCTCGGCGGCCGATCGGCAATGCTATGAGCAATTCAATTCAAAGGGTTCAATCAATGGCCATTGTGGGCGTGACGCAAATGAACATTACATCAAATGCGAGCCAGAGTAAGTGTGACTAAAAATTTCAAGGATTTTATTCACTGACATATAGTTTTGCCTCCCCTTCTGCTCATTAAAAACGTTTAAGGGAAAAAATAAATTGTATGCAAGTAATAAAATATTTAATATTTAAAATAAGTTAAAGGGGCCTAATTTGTATTTTCCCATATATTTTTAAGCTTGCGCGTATTTTTTTAGCTCTTAAATTTATATTTTGTGCATTTGCTTTTTTCTGTAGAAATGTTCAATGTGGCACTCTGCAATGCAAGGAGGGCGAACGGCAGCCGGTCAATGATGGCATTGATCAACTTTATTCGAATACGATAATCTCAATAAAAGGATTGGAGTATGAATGCAAGTAAGTGGAACAATTCCAGCGATTTATCTCTATTAACATATGTATATAAAAAGGCGATTATTCAAAAACTTTATAAATCTACATATCAACTATTTTATTGCAACTAAGTGCATAACTTTTTTCACTTATCGGATTGGCGCTCAATTCGCGTTCACTAAAGTGATAAACTTAAACGAAACAAAATTTTATCACAAAATATACATAAATACATACACACATACTATGTACAGCAAGTTTAAGTTTTTGTAAAAAAATTTTAATATTATTTTGCAAAACGAATCGAAATTTTGAAGCGCCAAAAATAGTTTCACCTCATCACTTAATAGAACAAGAATTGGCGCATTGTTGCGTGAATGAAATTTAAGTTGGCATTTCAAAAGTTGCAGTATTAGTTTACTAAATTTCCAAGAAGAAATCATTTTTTAATCAACTAACACTAAAATGCTTTTGTACCGAAGCTAATTTTTTTTTTTCAATTACACTCACGGCAAGAAGTATTGGCACAGAGAATTTTTCACAATATATGTATGCAACAATTTTTATTTTCATTTTTTCCGCTAATTTCTTATAAAAATATAAGTGCTCAAAAATCGCATTGATTTTTGAGAATATTTTTTCTGCACAAAGTATTTTCAATTTTTTTTTATACATATATAAGAAAATACGTGCTATTGAAACTTGCATTTCATTATAGTAAAATTTAATTCAAAATTTTAAAATTTTCATGAAAATTTATTGAATCGATTTTGGTTTTTTGCTTAAAAATTACTTGTCAAGCAAAAGAAACTTTTATTTTCAATATATATATGCAAACAATATATTGTTTTAGTAAATAACAATAAATTTTGCAATTCTTTTCAAAGAAGCTGTTTGACTTAAGTAATTTCTTTTTTAACAGTTCTTCAGTTATCTTTCTTACTCTTTCTCCATTTTCCTGGCCGGAAATTTTCTTTTAGTAAGGAGCTTTTGAAACCCACAATTTCGTTTTCTAAATTTTTTAATACCAGAATTTCGATACTAACCCCCTTCGACTGCAACTGTCCTCAAAATAATAGGAATGCGATATTTGACCAGCTTTTATTATATTGTATCTATGCTTATACTTTTTTATAAAAACCGTATAAATCCAAAATTTAAAGTAGAAAAAGAAATACTCACAAAATTTAAAACTTTTAAAAGTTTTAAAATAAATTTTGGCGTATGCAGTTTTATAGCGAATTGAGTTTTAATAAAATTAAAGTGTATGTTCCAAGTGTCTTCAAAATACCGTTGATTTTTGCATTTTTTTTTTGTTCACGGTGCCACGCATTTTCTTCCATAAAAAGTATCCTCGACAAGTTTTTTTTATATGAAAGAAAGACCTATGTCAAAAAAAAAAATTGCCAAAAATCGCTTTCTAAGCAACTTCAAACTTGCACTTTATTATACTTAAATTTAAGGCTGCTTATCTGAAAAATTTCTAAAAGTTCTGTGTAAAAATTTTGAAATTGCGTTGAAAATTTGTGTGCTTTTTATAATTTTTGCACAAAGTTTTAAAACTCGATTTATGTGGTTTTTGTTATATAAAGATATATATATATTATAAATGCCTTTATAAAACTTTAATGAAGATTAAACAAACAAATGAAAAATATTCACTACTGGTCAAATTATCGCCTAGCAATTATTTTGTGAACAACTGTACATCCCTACATACATATATGTATCTATAAGTAAATATGCATTTGCTAAACACAAGAATATTTAAATGTAAAATTTGTGCCTTCTTTTGAGCAAATGATTTTCTCATCCAATGCCCTTATGCCCCTTCCTTCTCCGACTTATTATTTAATTTAATTTATTTTCTCATTTTCAATTTCTTATTTGCCTTAATGAACGTTTTCATCAATTCCATTTTGTTCACTTTTTCTGCAGAGCCACCAGCGGTCAAGTGGGCACCAATGAATATCCAGAACATGGCTTGGTGAAGGATGGTACGCCATGCGGTAAAGATTTGATTTGTCTGAATCAGACTTGCGTCAGCATTTTTCCACACATCGATCAAACAAAATGTCCGACAAATAAACAAGGCCAAGAGTGTTCAGAACGCGGAGTAAGTAAACAAGTGAAACTAAAATAAAAACACAATCATACACTTTAAAGCAATAAACTTGAACTCAAGCTGATAATAAAGAAAAAAAAATACAAAAAATAAAGCATCCACTTGTCAATGAATATCTGTGCATAATCGGAAAGAAAAGCAAAAATAAAAACAAAAGCATTCAATATAATAATTTTAATGCGATTCATTATTGAGGTATTTCCGCAGCCAAGTGAATGCCGCAAATGTGCGACATCAAAAGAATTTTTCTTTATACTATATACCAAATAATGAAAATATACAATTTACTACGCGCTGTGCTGCTGCTGCAGCTGTAGCTTCAACTTTAACCATTTAAGCCCAGTGGCCATTCATTCAACCATTAAAGTATTTAACCCACAATAATGAGCTGCGCTTCAGAGGTGATTACGCAGTCGTAACCGTAGCCGCAACCGCACTGCTAGGCGCCTGATTAATGCGCTCAGAAATAAGATATCAAAAAAACAAAACGAGAAAAGAAACAAAAGCAATACAACAACAAGCAATTTCATGCATGAAATTATAACGAAAAGTACGAAAAATAAATCGAAAATATTTTGTGGTTGAAATTTGCAGCAACGGCCAAGCAAATGTATGAAAAGTGTTGCGTATACGCCACGTCGACCCGCAGACGCCTGCAATAATTCTTAACGCCAACAGTTAGCACCGAACAATGACAACTACAACACAAATGAAAGATTGCGCTACAAAGAGAATATTTGTGTTGTGCAAGTATGTGCGCGTATATGGCGTGTGTGTTTGTGCAGTAATCGGCCAAAATGCGACCGTAAATTCCATGCAGTGACTCATTTACGGTCGGTCATTGCTGACGGACTACTAAAGTGCAGCACAACGATGGCACTCACATACACATACATATGTATGTCTGAGCACATTTTGCCAGCGGCAATAGCAAAAGCATTAACAAGAAAATACAACAACGAAACGAAATCAGTTATCTGCTTGTCCGGCCAGAATGTCGACAGAGCTCATTATTGGGTCAACGCTGGTTGCCATTCGACTGTGAGCTGTAGCCAATGTATAAATAGGCTTAAATGTAATTAAAAATTTAAAATATATCGTTCCAAAAGCTTTCGGCACATAAACAAATGCACACACCGAGGGTTATAGCCAAAAAAGCTTTTACGCGACTCTGCTACTCATTTTAGTTGCTCAATGGCTGGCTGATTGGTGGCCCGGTTTGGCTGGTTGGCTGGCTATCTTTGGGGCTGGTGGATTTGCTGATTGGTTTGTTGAATTATTCGACTCGCTGCAATGTCATTTTGCATTTTTAATCCATATTGATAGCTGCAACTTGTAATGGAAATATTGTTTATGCGAAGCTTTCACGTTGATTACGTTTTCTGTACGTATGAATGCACTTGTAATATATTTTACAATTTGGATATGTCTGAAAATCGATTAGCAATGACAACAAAATTTGAAATTAATCAAATTTATTTATGTATAAATGCATTGTTGCCCACAAAATTTTCAGCTAGCCCAATGTATTCATCACTTTTTCAAGTAATTACATTTTTAATTAATTATTTTCCTCATTGTTTTTTTTCGTTTTATATTTTTTTTTCTAATTCCTCAGGTCTGTACGAATACGAATCGCTGCTTTTGCGACATGGGCTGGGGCGGCATCGATTGTAGCCTTGTAGTTTTATTGACCACACCACTGCCAACGGAAGCGCTGCCAACCGCGGAGAACACTATCAAAATGGAGAAGAAGGAGACGCCATATGGTAAGAGGATTATGTGTAGAATTGTTTGGTAACTATTGCGCTCACAGAGTTGCATGCAGGCACAGCAAGGCGCGTTATTTCCACTGTCTTTTAACTCAAGTTTTAGCTTTCACAAGCCCAAGTGAAAAATTAATTTAGTTGATTTCTGTAATATTACTTCATCGCCTTCGCTGCCGCGCTCTGGAGGTTTTATAAAGAATTTTTCTTATAAATCTCATTTCTAAGATAAAAAATATTGCATTAGAAAACTTAAAAAAAATGCATAAAGGATACTCAAATTAAGAACGCAGGATGCAAAG